TTCTGATCGAAATCCTACTGTTATATGTTTAGAATCTTTACGCATTGGACATTGCAGAAATTATTTTGTGACATTCATGTTTTTGTTCATTTACAAAACAAAATCTGCGGTTATGTGGTGAGGCGGCGGCGCCCACAAAATCGCGTCCGTCCCACGCGACCGAAAAGTGGAAAAGGGGCGTCGTCGTGAATGTGTTAAATTATATATTCACTACGGGGCCATATGCTCAAGCTCCCCCTTCCTCCTCCCTCATACCCCTCGTAGGAATAAAATCCCCAAGAATAAAAACGCATATTCATAGAACTCGTTTTTCACAAAACAAAGATAAGAGTAAAGCATTCAGTATTGGTCATTCGCTTTTAGGATGCGCCACGCTTTTACTTCAATCCAGAATCGTACTCACATTGGAATGTGGGATGGCCTAAGCAACATCTTACCATGCCAGCCGATATACAAGTCGAAGTTCGATTCTGCCGGACAAATCTGGCATAAACCGATAAGCGATCGAAGGCTTGATTGGTCCAGGCGAGATCAGATCCACGATGACCCGCGTGCGCGTGGAAAGTAGCGCCATTTAGCCACTACACCTTCTTCGTCACTTTATTTATATTTTACGTTATAAACTAAGATTCCTTCCATTCAGGCCAGCAGCCTTAGCACCCTTAGTTGTTCTCAGTGACCGATTTATATCTTAGTTAACACTTTTCCTTTGATTTTCTTCTCGTTCTTTTCGGTTCAATTCACAACGATTCTTGAACCTTTGGCGCAATCTACGAGAAATTCCTATATATAGTTCGGTAGAGATGCCCCGTAGATACCAGTATGTTCTCCTCAACCAATCGGGTATCATACACTGAAGTTATGGTACCGTGAAATGTGGGACATTCTGGAAGACGACGCTAAGAGTAATTTTGAGAAGAGTACATTTTATTTTTTACAGTGTGGACTTTGTGGAGACAATATGCCTTTGTCAAAGTAGATTATAAGTTGTTTTACATAGCCTAGCTGAGGCGTTGGTTCTTCTCAAAGTTTTAGAGAATCTCTCACGTGTGAAGCACATGGGAAGTTCTGGCGAGGAACCTGCTTTGGCTTATCGTTAGAAAGTTATCTGCCTCAGCATAAGTTAATGGCTGGAGGTAGTGGCTTATCAAATGGCGTTTCATGTCGCAATTATGGCCTCAGTTTTTTTCCTCATCTAGCGCAGCTTAAGCTGCTTCGGATTTATCGACCATACAAGTTACTTAATCGCCAAATACATACCCATTCGAGACCTTGATGATTTTGCTCGAAAGTTGAATGCCCGGCGCAACCTGGAAAGTGTTTGCTGGGCGATTTGGTGACTTGGTCATGAAGATATGATCATGGGTGTTATTCTCAGGATCCTAGCACTTCTTTTATTATATTCCTTTTTGGAATATTATCATGGGTGTTATTCTCAGGATCCTAGCAGTTCTTTTATTATATTCCTTCTCGGAAGTTCCATGGAATTTTTCATATCTTCATGGTTATCAGATTGACACTCCTACTGAATCCTGTTGAACGTCGGGGATATCCCGCAGGATTGCCGTCGTTTCGAAGTTCATACTTCATCTGACAATCGTTGCCCATCTACCCAAGGGCATGAATAGGGCGATCCGCTGTAACCGTCTAGACGTCTTACCATCTCTCAATGACGTTATTGCATAGGAATTCGTCGCATCAGTCTTGTTTTTATACTATTTGCTTTGCACTGCCAAGTGGTCTTACTTTCGTCACGATGTTCCTCTCTGGCATTATTTGTTGGCTGATTACCGACTTAGTTGTTGGCACTCTGTATCTGTATTATCTAGTTGTTCTTTAGAAATGACCTCCACTTTCCATGCCGTGCGAGGAGGCGCCGCTAAGCTCAACACCGGCTTCCATATCCCTCTAGTGGGACTGGGAACCTACAAAGTCACTGGAGCTCAGGTGCGAGGTGCATACCTTATATAATATCATCGCTTTTCATATTCACGTAAAGAGAGGGTAGATATGAGTCGCCGGTCCATCTAGAAGAATAAGATCAAATCTAGGTGAAACCAGCTGTGGATGCGGCATTGGGCTGCGGCTATCGTATGTTTGACACCGCCAAGTACTATGTGAATGAACCCGAATTGGGAGCTGCACTAGCGGTGAGTTCCAAGTTCCAACGAGCTCTCAATCAGTCAGTTCAGCAGGTCGTATCCGAAATAGTTGATAGTTGTTCAGGAGCTGCTTCCAAAACATGGCTTATCTCGCTCTGATATCTTCCTTACCACAAAGTTCTTCCCTGATCGCGATGATCCAGCAGCTGCTGCCAGGCATCTTGTCAAAGAATCTCTTGAAAATCTTAGAACGGAGTAGGTGGTCCTCGCTTCGTTGACTTAACATTATCTAACAATTTTTAAGCAGCACTTTTCAGCTACATCGACATGGTCCTTATTCACTATCCAAAAGCTCAGGAATCAGATGAG